GAACAGCTTCCCCTTCCATCTGTAACTGTTGGGTGAAGTGGAATTAATTTTAATTTGTTCTACATGCTAACCAGTTGCCCCTCTGTTCACTGAATTATTATCTCTTCTCCATTGAATTTGAAATGCCATTTAATTATATGTTGTGTATGCATATTTATACGTATATGTTTGTCAGCTCTCTGTCATTGATTTTTCTTCTTGCACACATAGTATAACATTTTAATTACTGTAACTTTATACCAGGTCTTGGCAAACAATGACCCATGGGCCAAATCCAGCCTACCACCTGGTTTTTATAAATAAAGCTTTATTGGAAAGCAGCCATATTTATGTGTTGTTTATGGCTGCTTTTGAGTTACTATGGCAGTGTAGTTGCAACAGAGCCTGTATGGGCCAGAAATCCGGAAATACTTACGATCTGGCCCTTCACACAGAGTTTACCAGGCTCTGCTTTATACTGTGTATCGATATCTGATAGGGCAAGTTCATCCTCATTCTTCTTTTTCAACAATTTCTTGGCAGGGCTAACATGTTTATTTCTCCAGATGAACTTTAGAATCAATTTGCCAAGCTTGCCTGACTTCCTTCTTTTCCCCACCTCTTTTTTGGGGTGGAGAACTGGGGAGCCAGCAGAATAGGAATTTTGATCGCATTAATTTGTGGTTTAGTGAAGTGAGAAGTGATTGCTTTACGTTGGGTCTTTCTATTCCAGAAATATCTCTCTATGTGTATATCTTTCAGTAAACTTTTATTGTTCATTTTGAACAATAAAATCGTACATATTGGAGTTTATTCCTATATGTATTATTGCTTTTTGTTGCCATTATAATTGAGATCTTGTCCCAGTTATATTTTACAAGTGACTGTGATATAAAGGGAAGTTTTTGCTTTTTATCGATTTAAATTCTGTTTCTAACCCTCTTATGAGAGTAAACTATTAGGACTGTTAATTTTTGTTTCTTTCAATTGACAGTCATTGTCTGAACTTATCAATAATTGTTTTATTAATGTTTATGTCTCTGCCTATATTGTGGAGTTCTCTTACCTAAAGTAGTTTGGGGGAATGGACTTGGACACCCTCAGTGGCATTCGTTTTTTTTCTTTTGTGTAGGTCACAGCAAATGGTAGTTAAAACAAGCCAAAAAAAAAAAAAAAAAAAACCACCAGATAACCTAGACAAGTTTATGCCCAATCTGCAGTTGTTGGTAGTTTTAAGAAAATCCAGAAGATAACGTAGGCAAGCTATTTATCAAACAGGCTCTGTCTGCCTTTGCAGAGCTGATTGCTGCTTTTAATACAGACTATAGAGTTGCCATGTCACCCAGGAGAGTCAGACTCAGCACTGCTTCACTTTGGAGAGCCATTTGATCATGGAATGCAGTCAAAACCTAGCATTTATCCTTTGGAATTGAAATATGAGCAGGAGATTTTTATGAATCAGTTAGTGCTTTCCAGAATACATTCTCGGTAAAGCATTTGATCTTTATCCTTAACATCTATGCCTTAAGGAGGTGAAATCTACTTTAGATTTCAAGGTCTATTACTTGCCATGAGCATTGAACAGATGAACTGTAAATCCAATGTGTGTTAACCTTTGTGAATCTATCTTTTAATGCCATTTTTGTCTTTTTTTCCTCCTGAATTTGTGTCTTCTTAACTTTTCCTTATGTTGATGAGACGAAAGAAAAATTATCCATGTTACTGGTTTCATTTTTTCCTTTTCCTTTTTGTTTTTTTGGTTGAAGTGATGATGGTGTGGTAGCAATAGGGATTGGATATAGAAATGGAGAATTGCTGACATATATTATGTATTTGTGAAATGAACCTGTTTACTCCTGTTGCCTTTAGTAAAGTAAAACTTCATGTGTGGAACCTGATTTTAAACATAATATCTGTATTTTTGTTCCTGTGTGTTGTGATTATCTGCAGTCAACATTATGAACATCAGTTGCTGGTATACGAGTAGCAGTGCCATTCTTGCATTACTATAAAGAAATACCTGAGACTGGGTAGTTTATAAAAGAAAAGAGATTTAATTGACTCACAGTTTTGCAGGCTTTACAGGAAGTATGGTGCTGGCATCTGCTTGGCTTCTAGAGAGGCTTATAATCATGGAGGAAGGTGAATGGGGAGCAGGCACATCACATGGTGAAAGCAGGAGAGAGAGGGTGAGAGGAGGTCTCACACACTTTTAAATGACTGAACCCCATGAGAACTCACTGACTGTCTCAAAGACAGCACTAAGCCAGGAGGGATCCGCCCGCATGATCCAAACATCTCTCACCAGGCCCCACCTCCAGCATTGAGAATTACAATTCAACATAAGACTTGGATGGAGATATATCCAAACTCTATCACCATCATAGGCTATAAAGATGTACCAGGCCACCTGCCTCAATTACAGAGGAAGCTCTGACCTTGGGATCATTAATGTGAGGCGAGAATTGGACTGAGGAAAAGTTAGAGACTATTTTAGACAGCTGTGTGGTATGGAGAATGGTATAAGTAAATATAGTGGGAATTGATGTCTTTTATTGAGCACTTACTATGTTCCAGGTATTGTAATGGGTACCTGATATACCTAGGCGTTGTAATAGGTGTCTGATAAATATTTTCAACCACACAACAACGTTATGAAGGAGAATTTTTTATCCTCATTTTACAGATGAGAAAATTGGGAATTAGGTTAAATAACTGGTAGACCTGAGATTTGAACCAGCTGTTAAGACTCCAGACTCAGGTTGTGAAGCAAAGTGGATTTTTGACAGGAATAGAGTGGTTGTGTGTGTGTGTGTGCGCACGCATGTGTGGGCACACATTATGTGTAGGAAGGGCAGTGGGCAGAATGTGGGGTTGGAAGGAAGGGTTTTGTGGAGTGGGGTGGTGAAGATATTTGGAGTATGAGTTGGGCCCAACCCACGAAAGTCCTGGAATTCCAGATTGAGGATAACTTGTTTCTTGTCTTGTCTACTTCTTCCATATTTATATAAAGGAGGGAGAAACATACAACAGTTTTGGTTTATTTAGATTCTCTTATGGAAATTTTGGGAGTTGAATTAACAGCAGGGTGGTGAAATGACAAAAGCATAGCCTGGAGAGTTAGAAGAGACTCTCATTGCTGGAATAGCTTTTAGCAAGCCCCTTTTTCTCTCCCCTCCCTTGTCCTCGGTGAAAACAGAGTGCAGAGCCTAAAGTTTTCTGTTTTTGCTTTTTGTCTTTTTGGTAGCCCAAGAGTTTAACTTCATATATTAAGGTGATAATGGAATGTATCATTTGTCTTCCTATATTTAATCTGAGAGAGTACAAAAAAGGGGCTATGGCTTGGTAGTAGATCAGGTGGAGGTGCAAGAGTTGGATGTTCAAGCTCCTCAGCACCTCTTGCTGGTCCTGAGATGCCTCTTGCTGGCGAGAGGGTTGTTGCTTCTAGCTTCTACCCTGTTCTTGTTTAGTAAATATAAATGTCAATAAATAAGTATACAATGCACATACTTTTCTAAACCTCTGTGCAGTTGTATTTAGATGAAAAATCCAGATTCTGAGCCACATTATGTCATCATTTACCTTAAGCATGGCTAGGCTATTCGGATGCTAAGAAATTCATGCATATCTGTATTGGAGGGCCATTTAGAGCTTGAGGCCCTGCTCTGGCTGTCTCTCAGCACAAAACGCTGGTTTTTGGGACCATTCTAGATGGCTATGACTGTGAACAGTGCACATGCACGTGTATGTATACAGGTATGGCCTGCTGTTCCTGACACCGCATGTGAATGTTAGGGGCTCTGCTTCTGCCAACCCCTCTGCCCTGCAGACCTACTCAGAACTGGATGCCCAACAAGCTTTAGAAGAGAAAGTAAAGCGTTCTAACTGTGAACAGGGAAGCCAGCTTGCTTTCAGGGTTCAGAGTAACAGCCCAGAGGATCCAGCCCAAGCACAGACACCTGATGTAGCACCTGCTCTTTGGGTCTGTTCTTTGGATCTGATACGTGTCCTCAATAAAATGTTTCAGTAAAGAGTGCTTTTTTCTTTCTTTCTTTTTATCAGAATGGTATAACTTGGAGAGTTACAATATCTTTTCATGGTCATTTTCATACTAACCTTTACTAATAGGAAAGAAGGAACTAATGTAAATCCTGATATTTTATGAAAATACTTCCAGTGGTGCTTACATATGAAATTATTAATAAACTTTCAGCTTACATTTTTATTGCCTAATATGTATGGAAACATACTTTACTTGAAGTTGAGGATGCGTGTGGTGGCCCACACCTTTAATCCCAACATTTTGGGAGGCTAAGGCGGGAAGATCACCTGAACCCAGGAGTTCAAGACCAGCCTGGGAAACATAGAAAGACCCTGTCTCTACAAGAAAAAAAAGAAAAGAAAAATTAGCCGTGCATGATGGTGCACACTAGTAGTCCCAGCTACCCTGCAGGCTCAGGCAGATCACTTGAGCCTGGGAGGTTGAGGCTGTTTTTGCGCCACTGCACTTCAGCCTGGGCAACATAGTGAGATCCTGTCTCGAAAAAAAAAAAAGAAAAAGAAAAAAGAAATACTAATGTTCAGATGCTTTTCTATCATTTTCTTGCCATGAGCTTACTTAATTATACCAGTATTTCTAGAGAAGAGAGGGGAAAGTGAACATTTCATTTGAGACTAATCTGTTTTTATGATTTGTTTAATATGCTAACATTGATGTCTTTCTATTAAGTTCAAGTTCACTGCTGACAGGATTTTACAACTACTGAAGTATTTTTTGTTTTACCTTAGAATTCACATGAAAATTTCATGAACTTTAACATTTGGTTGGGAATTTAACTTTGTTGTCAGACTATTTCTAGGAGGTAGGTCACTAATTGCATGTTTTTAAAACAATTTAGTGGTCAGGTTAATTGAGATAGTATTTAATTATATCAAAACATTTGCTTATTTTCTGAGTTTGTTTTTTTTTTTTATGATATTGGAAATAAATGAGGCTGACATTTTTCCTTTTTCTTTTCAAGATTTTCAGCTGAACTCTCATCTCTCAACACTGGCAAATATTCATAAGATCTACCACACCCTTAATAAGCTGGTAAGTCATTCTTTTAAAGACAAAATTACCAACTGTTTGAAGTAGTCATTTTGTGTAAGAGTATTTGATAAAAATTTAGATTCTAGATACTAGGATATCAGTTTATGAGAATGCTAACGGTGTGTGATTTGTTGGTAATAACGAACATATTTCTTTCAGAACCTAACAGAAGACATTGGCCAAGACGATCACCAAACAGGTATCTGTAAATGCTAACACTACTTAATTTTAAATAACTTCTTAATGTAAAATTAAGAAAGAGAAATACTAGCTATGAATGTGCTGTATTGTCATAATGTACTCCATTAACAAGTTGTTCCTTGGCTGAGGTTGTTTTTCAGGGAGTAATGAAGGCAGCCATGTTATAGCTTCTTCCCAGTAGGAAATCTCTTGTGGAAGCACTTTTTAATGCCTTTAAAGAGGCTCGAGATTCTCTTGAATAATTGTTTCAAGATACCATTTTTTCTCTACTGCAGTATTTTCATTTATACTAAAAAGGTGCTACAGTAATGCAGTTTGGAAGGTATTCCACAAATATTTGAGAAATTGAGCTGAAAAATGATTTAATGTGTGTGTATGTATGTGTTTATAGTTACTGAGGATTTAGGAATCGGAAAATTGAAGCTTGATTAGTGTAAGGTGTCCTCTAAGTCTGTGGTTCTCAGAGTTTAACTGGCATTATAATCACCTGCGGGGAGGCCTTGTTTAAAGTACAGATGTTAGGTTCCACCCCAGAGTTTCTGGTTCTGTAGACTTGGGGTGGGGCCCCAGAGTTTGCTCCTATGTGGTGCTGATGGAGCTGGTCTGGAGACCACAATTTGAGAACCACTTCTCTCAACTGTTAGTAATCATAAGTTCAGAAACTTACATCTGATCTATAGTTACTAAACTCCCAGCAAAAATTATTAAAACACATTTTAAAGTGTTTGAAAATGGCCATAGTAATAGATGAATTGAAATTTGTCTTAGTCTGGGCTGCTGTAACAAAATCCCTTAAACTGGGTAGTTTATAAACAATAGAACTTGATTGTTCATGGTTCTGGAGACTGGGAAGTTTAAGGTGAAGGCACCAGCAGATCCTGTGTCTGGGGAGGGTCTGTTCCTCACTGATAGTGCCTCTTGCTCACTGCATCTTAACATGGCAGAAGGGGCAGGCCATTTTCAAACACTTTAAAATGTGTTTTAATAATTTTGCTGGAAGTTTAGCACCTTCCTCAGACCTCTTTTGTAAGGCCACTAATTCCATTTATGAGGGCTCTACTTTCCTGACCTAATTGCCTCCCAACTGTACCTCTTAATACCGAGAGACTGGGGATTAGATTTCAGCATGTGAATTTTGGAGGGACAAAAACATTGAGGCCATAGCATTGCTTGTTGGGGAATTTTGAATAGCACAAAAGTAAATAGAGTGAAAAGTGACAGTTATCTTTTATGTCTCCTAATCCTATCACTATCTGCCAGCGCACGGTTTAACATTGGTTCTTTCAGACATTTTTTTCAAAGCAAAAACTCTTTATTTTTTAAGAAAAAGGTATGATTTCTTATTTTCTATTCTTAGCATAAGTTTTAATTCTTTCCAGTGGAACCCAAACCTTCTGAACCTCTTTCAGTATCATCCAAAGCTTTGAACTTCTATTTCTGGGTAAATAATTTGTTCACAGATGACGTGCAGTTCAATCACCTTTTTTGACTTCAGACTTTTCTTTGCCAAAATTAAACAGTACAGCACCAACATTTCCTCTGTAATCTTCCTCTATGACACCACCTCCTACATCTATAAAGTGTTTTGCAGCCAAGCCAGTCTGGAGCTACTCTTCCACAACACGTGGAAGGAGGAGCTATCTAAATGTCTGTTTGCAAGAACTTTCTCCATAGGTGGTATTATATCATCATAGGCACTGTACAGGTCATAGCCTGCAGCCTGTGCAGGCCTTCAGGTCAGGCTGTGGTATGCTTGGAGAGTTGGGCAAGGCAGAGCTGCATGCTGACCTCCTCCACAGGCCAGAGAGCTTGCCGGGGGAAATGGCAGGTATCTCTTTAGAGAAGGGCATGGCAGTACAAGAAGGTGAGCGAAGGAGAGAGCCGAGGGAATGAGAGGGTGCAGGATCCTTTCTCACATTTGTATGCATGCATATATGTTTATAGTAGTGGTTTTTAATTGAGCATCCCATGATATCATACTGTACATGTTATAGTGTGTTTTTCTTTTTCATTTAATGGTGCATTTTGGGGGCTGTTGAGATTTAGGACTGTCCCCACCTTCTCCTCTAAATTGATTCAAAATCAATTGAAAATTAGGTGTAAGATGAAGACTGAAGTAACAGTGTTTTTTGAAAACACAACTTAGATGTGCAGCAAGAATGCACAGGACTTTCAGCATTTCACCTGAATCACTGTCACAACTACATAAGCACAAGCCAGCACACCTGCTGACCCTTCACACCCTACATTATGACTTTCAGCTTGCTCCACTGGCAGGCGGATCTGAAAGGAAGTTCGAGGGGTTAGGCTCTCTGCTCATTCAGTCTCTCAGCACTTAGATCAGGTACTCTTTCTTCCGGGGGAAAGGAGTGAGACAGAGGGGCAGAGACTGCGCTAGGAGTGTTCTAGGAGTTCAGGGGTACTAAGGGTCCCTTCACCTGATCCTTCCATATTGGCAAATATAGATCAACTCAAGGACAGTCAAAATCAATTTATTTAATAATTTTAAAAGCAGTATGTCCCTGTGGTTTTGAAAGAAGTATTGAAAAAATATAAAACAAAAAGTGAAGATTTCTGTCCCAGTTTATCACCCCTAGCTTCCATCCCCCACTAGTAGTCCACGTTTGACTTTCCAGAGGTAACTTAAGTTTCTTCTGTTTGTTAACCAAATTATGATGATGATGATGTATTTTTTTCCTTAAATACAAGTGTATATTTATATTTACTGCTTTTTCACTCGGTATGTCTTCGAGATCTTTTCATATTAACACATTTATAAAGTATCTGCTTTCTTTTTTAATGGCTGTGTAATTTTCCAATCAATGGATATTTTATAATATGTTCCTTCTGTTGATTTATGTACACGTATGTGTTTAACTTTTAGCCACCGCCAGTAATGCAGGAATATAACTTTTGGACCAGTTTTAATAGTTACTTTTGAACTTTTAAATTAGATAATTATTGTTAGTATAGTAATTTTGCATGTAAATATTTAACCCAAAGTGTGGCAGTTGAAATTCAGTTAAATGAAAGTATACTTGGACTCATGCCTCCACTTTTGCTTTGGTTACAGTGGATATGTCTAATACTGGGAGTACTTTTCATGGGATTCTTGGGTGTTGCTTCGCCAGCCGGAAAATTCTGTGGCTGGTGGCACCTTCTACCTGAGTATTGCCTGTATCTGCTGTGCTCCTTCCACCCACTTGGCCAGGCAGGCTGCACTCAGCTCGCACTACTGGCCTGGATCCCACACCTGCCAAGTGCGAGTTAGGCACAGAGTGGCGAGCAGTGTGTGAGCGAGCGAGCACCCGGTCCAATCACTGCACACAGCCAGGCACGCTGGCTGCTGCAGTGGGGCAAGTAGCGCCAGGTGCCAGCACGGGCGCTAGTACAGGCTCCAGCTCTGTGCGAGGCTGCAGCTGGACCAGATGTACTGCATGTGGCTTCCTCTGTGGGCACCTGCACCTGGACGAGGGGAACAAGGTGGCGCCCAGAAGCTTGGAGATTCTAGGAACCACAGAACCCCAAAAAGGGTGTCACAGCCCTGGCTCAAGGATCCCCTAGGTCTGGGCTCCCCAAAGGGCTGCAGCTCTTCTCTCTTCACCGCCCACAATGTGGCAAGTGGCAAGGGGTGTGTTTCAGCCCTGTTCGTGTTACAGTTCTTTTAGTCCTGCCATTTGGCGGAACCTGAGTTCCTATCCCACATCCAGGAAGAATGAGGTATGCAGACAACTAGAGGGTTAGCAAGGTATAGAGGAGCTTCATCGAGTGGCAGAACAGTTCTCAGCAGACCCAAAGTGGGTAGCTCCTTTCTGCAGGCAGGTCATCCCGACATCTATGCAGCCCTCAGCGGAGAGGAGACCTGGAGTGAGTAGCTCCTATCTGCAGGCAGGTTGTCCTGTCCTCTGCCCGAGTCTGGCAGAGTCTGAGGTTTTTAATGGGCTTCAGAGGGGAGAAAGCACGTGCTGATTGGTCCATGGGTGGCCATGAGCTGGCCTGGAAAAAGCACAATAAGTTCTCACTCTAGTCCCTGGAACTGGCAGCCCAGCCTCCAGGCTTCAGGCCATTCCAGGCTTGAAGGTGGGGATTTACCAGGGACCCATCCCTTTCTGCCCAGAAACTTGTCTGCTTCCTGCTGCCATCAGCTTGCCATCCATGGTGCCCATGGCACTCAGGCTGTTTGTGCCAAGCGGCACCTGCAGGTCTGCACCAAGCTGCTCTCAGCACCCCCCAGCCTCCCCTTCATGCTTGTTGGTGCCCAAAGTTTGAAGGGGGCTGAGGCGGCAGGGGGCTGGTGTGTTAGTGCTGCCCCAAGCATGTGCACACCTGGTTAGGTCACAGCAGTGCCTGGGCTCAGCCTCAACTTTATTCTGATATTGGACAAGGCACCTGGAGTGGGGAGATGCCAGGAAGTAGAAGCAGTCACTTCTGAGGCTGTGGGGGCAGGGAGCTTTCCCAGTCCCTGAGAGTGCAGGGATGCCTGGGTCTGCAGCCATGGTTGGGCGGTTGCAGCTGTGCCAGGAGGGTGAGACTCTTGCCCCCACAGCTCAGAACGGGGTGGGGCTCCTGCCTGTTCCCAGCTCCGTGGAGTGTGCAGCACCTGCTGCTCCTCCTCCTTTGCAGCCCACCTCATGACAGTGATTGCTCCAGGCGGCTGCTGCCGCCATCAGTATGAGGTGCTGGTTTATTGCCTGGTACCTTGTAAGTGCCCAGTCAATGTCAGTTAGTGTTAGTAATTTCTTGGAGTAGTCAACTTCATTAACATTTCCCATCTGGTTATAGCATCGCTTGTGATTCCTGTACCCAACAGAGTATACTTTAAAAACTGAGCAACATAAAATCTATGATGTTTAGAAATCTGAGAAAGCTGAGTCATTGTAGTACTTCTTTGAGTCTCTCAACCTAACAGTAGTCTGGGCAATGCTACTGTGTGCAGAAGAGCCAAACCTAAGTCACAGAGGTTGGGTATCTTCCTGCTCTGCCTCTTCTCACGCCTTT